CCCCCCCCCCCCCCCCCCCCCCCCGCCCAAGCAGGAGACCCTACACCATTTCTGACAGATGGCAGTCCAATCCCTTCTTGAAAGTCTCAAGTGATGAAGCTCCCACAACTTCTGAAGGAAATTTCTGTTCCATCAGTTGATTGTTCTCGCTATCAGAAAATTTCTCCTTATTTCCAGGGTAAATCTCTCCTTAATCAGTTTCCATCCATTGTTTCTTGTCTGGCCTTTGCGTGCTTTGGAAAATAGCTTGACCCCCCCCTCACTCCTCTCTGTGGCAGCCCTCAAATATTGGAAGACTGCTATCCTGTCTCCCCTGGTCCTTCGCTCCACTAGACTAGCCAGGCCCAGTTCTTGTAACCATTCATTGTATGTTTTATGCTCCGGTCCCCTCATCATCCTGGTTGCTCTTCTATGCACTTCTTTTTAGAGTCTCAACATCTCTTTTTATAAGTGTGGTGACCAAAACTGGATGCAGTACTCTAGGTGTGGTCTTACTAAGGCTTTACAGAATATTGATCTTGATTGTATCCCTCTATTAATGCAGTTTAGGATTGCATTAGCTTTTTTTGCTGCTGCCGCACACTGCTGGCTCATATTTTGCTGGTTGTCCACTAAGACTCCACGATCTGTTAAAATAGAGTAGAGTAGAGTAGAGAGTAGAATAAAATAACAGAGTTGAAAGGGACCTTGGAGATCTTCTAGTCGAACCCCCTGCTTAGGCAGGAAATCTCTCTCACAGATACTGCTATTAAGCCTGGTTTCACCCAGTCTGTATGTGTACTTTTGGTTTTTCTTGCCTAAGTGTAAATCTTGACTTTTCTCTACACTGAGGAGGTTGTGAGAACCAGGCCACAGGAAATGCATGGTATTGTCCGAAGCCCCCCCCTCAACAGCAGGAGAAATATTAAAAAGATGTAAAAAAAAGTTTTTTTTAAAAAGAGACAGACTTGGTTGTAGCATCATCAAAGTGGCCATTTTGAATTTTCTTTTGACAATGCTGCAGCACACGATCACCCTGTACGCTCAAAAACATCTCCTCCACACCACCCTTTCTCTCCCTGCCTCAGTTTCCCATTTGGATCAGCAGTATATAAAACTACCTGAAACATTTTAGCGCGGTTATTTTAGGATTTTCAGGAACAAAACTCCGCATTGGTGACAGGAAAGGCATCCCGCCCTTAAAACACTCTGCTAGCTCAATTCAATTGCCCAGACTCCACCCCGCAGTCATTAAAAGATGATGATTTTAGGTTTTTCAGGAAATTGTCTGTTCTCTCTTGGAAACTCGACTTGAGGGCTTTGAGATCAAGATATCAATGAGAAGATATATAAAACAAAAGAAAACATTACGTTTAATTTCCCATGTGGTGGAAGAGACATAGGAGGAAAAAGGGAGGAAGATGAGGCAAATCACTTTACATTTGCCTTCTCTCGCAGGCTGCGGCTTGACTCACTTACTCGAGCTGAGCATCTCTTGGCTCACTTTCTCCTAATGCAGGACCAGAAATGCCCAGCATTGTAGTAAAATTCAGAAAAGGACTTTTCTGTCATTTTTTTTTTCCAGCCCCAAATATCCCTGGCTGAATTTCTTGGCTTTGTCAGGGGGATTCAGTAGATCTGTTCGGAAAAAAGCCCGTTCAATATATTCTCCCCCACCTTCATTTAATTAATTAAAAAGATCTATCAATAGCCACGCACGACCCTGCCCCTCCTAAAGCCCGTTTTAATAGCGGCGACCTATTAAATCAGCTTAATTTAGAAATCCAGCCTCAGACAGTCTAATCTGGACCCTGGCGTGTGCTTTCATCTTTCCTAATCTCCTTGTGTATCGAGACTTTAATGCTTTGTGATCCCTAATCAGGTTTGGTCTTATCTCATTTGCACATATGCATATTTTAAGCAGCTTTCTGCTTAGCAGGCAACACACCCCTGTCTCCATCTGCAAATGCGGCCTGGCAGCCAATTTTCAGGGCCTTATTCCCCCAACCTGGCACCCAGCTAAAGATGGGCTAAAATGGACACATTTAAAAAGAAAGAAAAAGCAAATTCTGTTTCTCTCAGGGAAGGAATGGCTGCTGGGGAATTCTGGGAGTTGAAGTCCACACCTCATAAAAGTGCCCAGGGTTGAAAAATGTGGGTTTAATGTTGTCAAAAAAGGTTGCATCTTTCTTTCTTTCTTTCTTTCTTTCTTTCTTTCTTTCTTTCTTTCTTTCTTTCTTTCTTTCTTTCTTTCTTTCTTTCTTTCTTTCTTTCTTTTTGTCTGTT